TGCTGCTCTTGGACCAGCCAAACTCTGACGACAAAACAAAGAGAATGTGGATAGTTTTCGGGTCGAATAGGACAGAAAATGATGGAAAAGAGTGAATATATATGGACAAGTTATCGGTCCAAAGTTCTCATTGCATGGAAAATAAAACCGAACAGCAAGCATGTGGGCATGGCCCAATACACTCGACTGAAATTGATTTGTGTTATACAAGTAGCAAAGTTTCTACTATCACCAGAAAAAAACAGAGTGAAAAAGAAATGTAGTGTGTCTTCTCTTTGTACCTGTTAATGGTAGCAATGAAGAGTTTGGTTTGAAATTGTCGGACACAGTAATTATTAGGTCTCAGTATGAGCTATCGAAGGAACTACTTAGGCTGCGTTTTGAAATGATGCAAATGGAGTGTAAATCCATTACATTTATGCATTTATAAATGACAGAAAATATATTTTTTAATACATATTTACATTGATAATAAGATGTAAAAGTATATATAAAAGAAGTAAATTTGCAATCAAGTAGGTTTTTAATAAAAATAAATAAATAAATTTGCTTTATCAATAAAATAGGCTTTATTGATAAAAGTCTGTTTGGTAAGAAGGTAAATTTGTTACTGCAAAACTAACCCTACTTTGCAATTTATATGGACCATTTTACACTCTACATATTTGCATTCACATTTATTTGCATCATTTCCAAACACAGTGGAAATGACAGCTGGGACTGCATAATCCCAGCAGGCCCACCAGTGAACATTCCTAAAGCTGGACCTAGCCCAGCCTATAAGCTTTCAAGTTTAAGTGTAAGTGTTGTGTCCAGGCTTGGTTTGACCAGACCTGTGTGGCAATAGGTTATATACCCCTTAATTAGGGGGTGTTCATCAAAAACCGAAAACAAAAAAAAAAAAAAAAAAACTGAATTGAATCAATGAAATCAAACCAAAAATTCTGGCTAACCAAATTAGCCGATTCGATTTCAGACTCTGGTTAATCAATATGAAAATCGGTAGTTAACCGAAACCGGCCAGTGTATGCATATATTTATATATATATTTATTTATTTATGATATATTATAAATATCAAAAAACCGGAAAACCAAAGAATAGAACCAATCAACTGATCAACCAATTGGTTTCAATTCGGTTTCAGTTCACAATTTTCCAAAAAAAAAAAAGCAATGGTACTGGTTCAATTTGAAAAATTGGCCCACGGTTTGGTTAACTAAACCGTGACCACACCTTCACTTAATGCAGATGCTAAGGTTGGCCTAACTAGCTCGTGGTCACCACTAAGTTTCAAAGTATTAGAAACAAAAGAAAGATTAGAAAGGTAATATGTAGGGATGCTCATCAAAAATTGAAGGTACCGATTCGGTTTCGGATAACTAATATAAAAAACCGATGATTAACTTTATTGATAATATATTATAAATTCAAAAAAAAATAAAAAAACCAATTAACTTTTGTTCAATTTTCCAAAAACCAAAAGATCAGTTTGATTTATAAAAAAAAGATGCCCATAAATTTATTAACCGAATTATGAGCACCCCTAGTAACATGTTTTGTATATTCATAGATATGATAGAAAATTTAGAATAGGCATGGATACATTAAAACTCAAATAAGTTCCAAAATTTACATCGATCGTTAAATTATATCATAAGTGACTTTAAATGGTAAGGATGCATATAAACATCAAAAACGCATATTCTAATAGTTTCTGTGAACCATCAGTTCTTTGGTTCATAAAATTAGAGAGGTTTGGTCATGAAAGAAACCCCAGTAGCCACCAACCATGATTGATCAAGTTCTTTCTTCCCGGCGGTGGGGGAAATCATCCTTTTACTATTCTTTTCATTTCATCACATCTAAAGTGCGTTTGAAATGGGTTAGATGCAAGTTCAGACATTAAATATAAACATGTAATCAAATGCCACCTTAATGAACTGATTTAACGAGGGCTAATATATCTAAATTTGAAAAGCCACAAAAGTAGAAATGTATCAGCTGGTACATTTGTTGCATCAGTCCATACGATGGCATTGACCAATACGATGAAAACAGATGTGTAGTGTTAGATCAAGTTGGTGGAGAGTTGGAATATATTTCATTGGCAGAAGACTTCAATGAATCTGGATCACCTACCAACAAAACACGTTTCAACCCTCTACAATATAATCTTACACTGCACACCTCATGCATGGCTGGCCCCACTTTTGCAAGTCCTAGTCTTGCGATGAAATGTCCCGTGTTAAATCAAGTTAGTAGAGGGTTGTAACTAAGGTTCTATATATTGATATGGGTATCAATGTATCGGCCTATGTCGGTGCTTTTTTTTATGTTTTACTTATTTTTTTCGAAATTGATTCAGAGTGACCGGTTTAAGGCCCAACTACCCTTTGAACTAGTGGCTGACCTGACACAACCCTTGTAGGGGCATATCGGAAAGCCACCGGCACAATATGTATCGGCCAATATGGGCCGATACATGTTGATACTTTGAACCTTGATTGTAACGCATTTAGTTGGTAGAAGATTTTAACCCCATGCCAGCCACTACTTATATATCAATACTTAAACCCAGTTGGAGTTGGGGCAGGTCCGCACTTAGGTTGCAATTGCAAAAACATTAAAATTTAATAGCATATCTTGCCATTATTTCGCAGTTGGCGGTTTATGCATCTCTTAAATTTAATTTTAGTGAAGTAAATTAAATCATATTTATATTGTGTGAAGTTTTCCCTTCATTAAATTTTTAATGAAGTATATTAAAGATAGTCACTCACACATTTTGTTTTGTGGCAAAGATCATATAGTGAAAGTAAAATTACTAAATTATTCATTCAAAATTCCAAAAACTAGCTTTGAAAAATATCAAAATTGTAAGAATAAGAGAAAACTCCCGATTAGTACCTTGTACTTTGGGTCTAGTGCCATTTTGGTCTTCGAACTTTAAAATGTAATAATTCAGTACCTAAACTTTTAAAACATGACAATCCAATACTTGCCATTAACTAGTTGTTAACCCGTTATAGAATTGTCACATTTTAAAATTTAGGAGACTAAAGTATAATCCGTTCTCTAAGTATTGTTGAACGGATTATGAATTCAAGGCCTATCATATTTAATCCCACTATTTTATAAAGTATAATATATATACATGAACTGATAATTGTGAAAGCGTTCTCAAAATTTGAAAGAAACTCGAGAGACAAAGTACCACTGCCCCTAAACACGGGATGTCTATCTGTAATTTGCCCTATAAAATATAATTTTGTAATGCGTATAATTTATATAGCTATAAAATGAATATCCATAATCCAGTCCGGGCCTACAATTGGGGTTAAGGTTGGGAATGGGAGAAGATGTCAAGCTCAGTAGTACTATGGTTAGACCAAACATGGGCCAGCATAATGTCCCTATGTTAAACCCGCCTCGAGCCCAACCAAGCAATCTATCATCCACAAGAGGATAGTCAAGTAGAACCGTAGAGGTGGCCATTTTGTGGGCCATTTGTGCTTTAATAGGCCATGCTGTGCCGGCACATGGGCCTAGGTGGGCTATGCCCGCCTGACCCGGAACCTTCCAAAGGTGAGGCCCGGCACAGCCTATAGCACGAGCCTAGGCAGGCCCATGCCAGGCCAGACTGTAAAAGGCATGATTTAAAAAAAAAATAAAAGAAAATTACAAAATAAACAAGAAACTGAAAAAAAAAATCAAATATATATGCACAGTGCCGTACTAGGCCCGGGCTGTGCCAGCACGGCCAAAAAAAATAACAATAATGTCTAGACCCAGGCAATAAATATGCGTGTATTTATGATAGATGGACAACCTATCAAAAACCAGGTATATAATGTTGTGGAGAGTTTGTTGCGTGCATAGAGTTAAGAGCGAGAGGGGAAACGTAAATCTCCTTCCATAAATTTCAAGACTGATATATTCCTGACTGAGATAATGTCAGAATTGAATCCAATCCACAATGTGTCTTGTAATCAGGTAGAGCGGGAACTTTTTTATTTGATGATCATTTGATCATGTTGGGCCGGATTAGAGCCCAATATGGCTATTTTCCTTTTATTTTACAAAGCACAAATATGTATTTTTTTTTTTCTCTTCTGATTCAGGGTCCATTTGATTCACGGGAACAGGGATCTAGAATTGGAATCAGCCGTTTGATAAGGTGAAAAGGATTCAAATTCCCATTTTAGGCTGAGCATTCGAGGTAATGGCCATTCCATTCTAGTTACCCCCTTGGAAATGAGAATCTCACTCTACCCCCCGAACCCAATTTTTCTTTACTAAGCGGCCAGTGCCAACCAACCCTCCATTTCTGTCAGTGCCCCCCCTCCAACGGCTAAAGGTCAAACTGACAACCGGCTTCTTCCAGTCCCAGCTTTCGGATGAACCAAACAACGATTTGTTGGTTAGATTTCAAAGCTTCCAAGTGACCTATCATATAGCATGACCATGCATGAGTTATATTGACCACCTGGAAAGGATCAAAAGCAACTCTATTTAAAGCCTCCTTACAACAATAACCACAGAAGCAGTGAACGCTTGACAAATATGGAGATAAGATAACACCACCATCACCGGTATTCACAAGCTTCCGCCAAGAACCAGTTATGAGCATCCACAAGTTGAGTCAAATTAACAACTCTTTGGTTAATTCCACCCAAGGAGAAAGGGAGACACCTCTATAAGAATGGTTGACGTCTCTGGTTCATCTTGCTTAACGTACCCCCTGACCTAGACTGGGGTCCTGATCGCAACCCAAGTTGTGTTGAGGTTTGGCTCAGTTTGAGCTTGGGCACATCAAAATGGATCTTAAGATCGAATTGGGCCGGGCTGACAAGATCCAGGTCCTAAAATTGAGACAAGGTTGCCCTTGAACCAAACCCAACTCATCAAACTGCTCAGATTGTGAATTTTGAGATGGAAGAATTTGGACCGTGTTTAATTTATATAGAAATAAGAGAACCGAAAGTTGGGAAGAAGCAGTGAAGGAAAATTAAGAAGTCTAAAAGCTTCCCTTCAACTTTCTCTGATATTTTCTATCAAACCAAACATAGCGTTGAGGAAAGAATAACAGATATCCCAGAGCAGGGGTACACCAAGCCAATGGAAATGGAACATTGCGAGTCTGCAGACAAGCTTTTCCTTTACAGTGTCTGTGCTGTGATTTCAAATAGACTTAGCAACTAGAATCACTAAACATATATAAATCATTCTTAACGACAGAAAACCGAGACATACTCCTAGACCCAGAGAATATACACTCCAGCAGCACCTAGTATCTATCCAAGGACAAATTCGTGGTGGGTGTACTGAAGGGTATAAGAGGAACTCACTCAACTCACAATGTACCGACTCAATCTATATTAATCCTAGTAGTTTCTTTGCTTCTCCCCTTGGAGCCTCCTTGCCTGACTCCACCCCATCCCATTCTCTCAGGAATCTGTCGTTGCTCTGTGGAAGGTAGAGCCCAGCCGCCCTTCTTTGCTTGACTATCCTGTCCACTGCTGCCAGCACCTAAATTATCATTATAAATGAATGAACAGGGAAACAATAAGTATCACAATACATTTAAGTTTTCAATCATGTGTTGTGACACAGTAATCAGTGATGCCAAAATTAATTACAAGAGAGTAGGGCTGTTCACAAATAAATCCAAACCGACCAACCCGAGTTGGTCGGTTTTTCTTCACTACCGGTCGGTTTTGAGTTGCAAAGATGAACAAACCGATAATTCAGTTTGATTTTGGTTTTCACCGAACCGAACTGAAACGAGTTATGTGAAAAAATATCTGTTAAATATAGATATTTTAGTTTTAAATAATAAATATATATCTGAAAAAATATGCATTCTGAAATATATCAGATATATATTTCCAAAATATATATTTCTAAAAATTAGAAAATATATATTTCAATATATTTGTATATATGTTTTGGTTTTAAATATATATTTCCAGAAAATATATTCTGAAATATTATATATAATATTAGCACTTTGACTTCATGTGCATTGTGCAAGCTTGGAGTTGGTTGAAACCCAAACCGACCAGGTCGGGTTTACTTAATAGAGGGCCGGTTTCGGTTTGATCTATAGGTAACCCAACCAGGTCGGATCAGTTGAAAATACACTAGTAAACCGACCCATGAACAGCCCTACAAGAGATAGAGAGAGAGTCAGAGAGAGAACTCCATGGCATAGAAATACCCCCCCCCAATAATGCTAGTAACAAAAGCAACATCTTAATTTATGAAACATGGTGCCGTGTTTCATCCCAGCCTATTACCTAAAATTGACCAACAGAGCACAGCATCCAGACAAGCGAAAAGACTGTACTTACCCATATTCCCATTCAGATTAAACCTTTCATCCCAGCCAGGTAAGTGCTTTCTAGCATTCCCCTTCCAAGCTTCTTCGAAACGAGCAAGTTCATCTGATGAAACACATGTAAGAGCAAAGGCTAACCCTGCTTAAACAATATAACACCATCGATGCTCAAAGATCAATGACATACCTTCGTTCATATTGTGCAAGGTCTGCATGGTGCCCACCCTGCCATCAGAATTAAGCTTTCTTGTAATTGAATGGCCCTACAAAAGCAATCAAATCATCAATACAATGACGATGACCCCACAACACAAAGATTAACTTATTCTAAAATCAATTAGTGCTAAACAGCCCTACATGGATTCTCCTCGGTATATGAAGCTTATGTGTTGGGCATATATCAGCTTCCAAGTTTTCAAGAATGGATTCTTGTACACGATGCACTTTTTATATATACCATTATAAACTTGTATGATAGTTGGTAACGCATTACCTAGGCAACAAGGCAACCTTGGTTGGGCATCTTGCCTGATGCCATGGCTTATTAAAAAAATTAAAAAAATATATATCTAGTTGACCAGGCATCTGCCTGGGCAACAAAAATCACAAGGCAGGCACCTTGTAATATCATTACTATGGTGACATGAGTACTAAGACATCCTATCACTTTTAAAAGCGTTAATACATCCTATATCATATAGTGTATTAATTATGTGGCTCTATTGGAGAGTTCCCTCGCCGGTTGTAGCAGAGACTTGGAATCAAATCCTGCTGTCACCAGCAGGGTTGGTGAGGAGGATGGGCTACCCCTCATTGTGTAGCCCCATGAATAAAAAAAAAGGAAATTTAGAATCAAGTCCACTTCAGGGATTTTTATTAGGTTTCTGGGTTTTATTTACCAACTCCACCTACAATTCACTAGAATCACTACCCCCCTTGAATCATTCCCCAACCTGTTACTATTCCAACTGTACTAAGAGTATGAGTGGACTGAACAATAAAACCCCAAATAATGCCTATTGTAAAATACAGAATAATTTTAATTAACTCCCCTACAGTGAAAGAAGGATATAAACAAACCTAAAAAATGGAAGCAATCATAGAAAAAGGAACTGATGGAAGAAAAATAACCGCATCTTAGTCTACTATTACATAATATCACACATCTGTCCATGTGTCTAAGAGTAAGAACTGAGTGAATAAAATGCATCTTCCTTTCAGTGGTATTTTCGTCATTTTTCAGACAACTATAGGATACAAAAGATAAAGAAAAGACCAACAGGAAGTATATTACCATTAAAGCAAAAGAGATACAAGGGTCTTAAAAAGAGAAAGGAAGAAAGAAGGATGAAAAGTTTTCCTCCTTGTTAGAAGTCTCTGACACGCGTTATTCTTCCCTTTTTTGTTACTATTTTCTGTTAACATTTTTTATTACTATGAAATCATTGCCTTCTTTAGTTGTGAATTATTTTTTGACACGTAATTGTTTTATTAAATGCTCATAATGTTAATGTGTATGAAATATAAAAGTTTGTTAATTAATTGATTTCAAATGCTACCATCTTTTAGATATGTTAATTTGCAATGATTTTAGAGGAAAATTAATTTGTCATTGATGTGTCAACTAGTCAACCAAATAGTAAATTGGGGGTCATATCAAATGCTTCACTAGCTAGTTGTTCTATGCCTCATTATGTGGTTGATTGGAACAACTAAGCATCAACTTGGCCAATTAATGGACACTTGGTTAGTAACTAGTCAATCCATGCACCATAAAGCAATTCAATGTTTTGAAACACAGATGTGTGATGCGAGGCATTCCACTACCTGGAGACATGAGGCATAAGCCCCCTAAACACAAAGAGGCATAAGCCTGGGGAAGAGTAAGCCCCCTGAAGATAAGGAGGCATAAGCTTGGGGAAGCTTAAGCCCCATGAACATAAGGAGACATAAGCCTCGCCTCCTTTAAGAGGAGAGGGATGAGGAGGAAAAAGGAGAAGGGGGAGGAAGAAGAAGAGGAAGGGGATTTTCAACTCTTTCCTACCCTTTCACTTCCCTTTTCTTCTCTTTTTTTCTTTTCCTTTTCCTTTCCTTTCTTTTTCTTCTGTCTTTATACTTGAGGCATGTGTGTGCATGAGGCATACGCCTCAGAGGCATCAACACCACTGGCATACACCTCAGAGCATTTTGGGGGCACCTCACCTAGAGACACACCACCTGGCATTTGTCTCCCACGCCTTCTACACTGAAGTAACTTTCAAATTTTATTTATTTTTATTTGTAATTACTTAAAATAATAATATGTGATTTTAATTTGATGCGTTGTCCAGTTGCATTAAGCAATTAAGATGGCATATCACTGGTTGATGGATATAAATAAAAACAAGGTACATAAAAAACAAAGACAATTGAACTTTTTATTAAGTTTTCTTCCAACTACGAGTGTGCTGGCATATGTTGGCACAAAGGGACCAACTAAGTAGTTAAGTTTGCAGGATTTCCCTGAAAAAGAAGATTATAACTCCCTATCCAGCCTTTCAATATGTTCCAAACAAATATTGCAAACTAAATTTCTATTTATTGCCTTTTTCTTGGTACTAACATATTACATATACTTGATGTGCATTATCTTAGATATGAGATATGCCTTGTTTGAGAGTGCTTATTCAAATAAGCGCCTTACCATGTTTGGTGAAAAGTGCTTTTTCAAATGGGGATAGTATACCTGTATATGTATTTTAAAAATTATGTGTTGGGACAAGACAGGCCAAAAAGCAAATAAGAGCTTTAAAAATAAACACCTTTTTGGGTGCTTATTAAAAACAGGCTTATTTCCATGAATAGGCACTTATTGGGGCTTTTTTCCCAAATGCATGTAAGTGTTTATTGGTGTGGTCCCGACCTAAAATAAGTTTATATTCAAATAAGTGCTTAAAAAAGCACTCTCACAGGGGCATAGAGTCAATATCGAAAATTCATTTTTATTACAACTAGGCACCAACTAGTGTTATTGGCAATGAACAGACATGAGAATAAAAATTAGAATAATGTCAGGAGTTTGACTCAACAAGAAAAAACATTGGCAATGAACAGACATGAGAATAAAAATTAGAATAATGTCAGGAGTTTGACTCAACAAGAAAAAACAAGGTCTTGAATACAATGGATAAGCCATTAAAGTGCTCCATATTTATCAAATTCTAACATTACATAACTAAAACAGGTCAAGAACTTTATTCTTGTTACTTAACAATGGTTTCTAGAAGAAAAAAAAAACGGAATTCATTTTTTATAAAAGAAAGATGTTATGAAGAAGTGTCCATCAAGGTAGATATCTGATAGGCATCGGGTAAAGAACTCAATACAGTTAGATCCAAGCAAACAATTCATAGGGGTAGAACAAGGAATATGGAGTATCTTATCAGCTTATACTTTTCTATAGACAATTGATTCTTCCCTTTTACATCTTGCCAAGTCAGACAATGCAACATGCATTACATTCTGATTCCTATGTTCGCATCCATGCAATATTACTTAATTTCCAATTTACAGGCCTCCTAGGCATAACTAGAAATATACTACCTTCCTAGGCATAATGAGAACTCCAATGGTCCAACCAACGGTGAGCAAACAAATCAAGATGTTGAGTTAGAGGACCTCCAAATGATACCTTATCATGAAGTCCCCTCGAAACCCTGTGTGTGGCTCGACCAGTAGTTGTATCAGCTTCTTTGTTCTCTTCTACAGTCACCTGATCAGCAAAAGAGAGGTTTTAGTTTAAAGAGACCCATATCATCCAAACTGTCAACCAAACAGATGTACATACCCCACCACTGCCAGTCCTTCTGGTTGTAGACGAAGTATAATATGCCCCATTGGCACCTCCATAAGTAACAGTGGAACTCTGAAAACTATAACTACGAGCCTGGGGATGTGCTCTATCTGCCCTGTTATAGTCATTCCAATACTGAATCTGCTTGCTCTTCCTCTCTGAAAGATAAAACACAATAAATCTCTACTTCAACAGTATATATAATAGCAACTACAAGAATATGAAGAATACAATATAATAGCAACTACAAAAGTGTGTATGTGTATATATATATATAGCAATTACAGCAAGGACTTAACCTTGAGTTTCATCATCTGGATCTTCAACATACGGTTCCTTTGACCTAGAATGCTTCCTAGGGTTTTCAGTCTTCTCTTTGGCGTTGGCTCCTCCTTGTTCTTCTTCGGCCTCATCTTCAGATGTTATCTCTTTGATAATAGGCCCCTTTGGTTTACTGGATTGTGGAGCTTGATGCTCCAGGAATCCAGCTGGATGCATATCTGAGTCTCCAAAAAACCTTGAACTTGACCCAAACATGTTCGGTCCCATCATACTAGATTCAAACATGCTTTGGAATGGACTAGCGAAGAAAGGTTCATCGAAAGGGTCCCTTCCCCCAAAAAAACTAGAGACTAGACTTCTGTGGCTACCAAAGCCCCCAAAACCACCAAATTCAGCAAAAGGATCGCCAAAACCGAAGAAATCACCTCTACCTCTCTGCATTTTTTTTCTACGTACGTATTCCCTGAGAAATAAAGAAGAAAACCAAGAGTACGTTAAAAGAAAATAGAATCAAAATAACACTAGGTCTCAACACATACCTTCAATTTAACGTCTTTCACCAAGAATAGTAACCCTACGTAGGAAAAAAAAAAAGAAAAAAAAAACAACCGAAAATTCCTCTTCGATTAATCTGAACAAATAAAAATCTGAATAAAGATTTTCCTCAAAAGAAAAGAAAAAACAAAAAAGTCGTGTTGCGCCATAGAATTCAACAGCGACCCCGAAAGGAAACGATCATCTCAAATTAAGTCTGCTTTCTATAAAATTGATTAACCGACAAACTATAGTATCAAAAGACAAAGAAAAATAGAATCACCGCCAACTTATATTCAAAGCGATTCTAATCAAGAAAGCACCATAACACCCTTTTAAACCGAAATCAAATTGATCAGAAATAAAATTGGGCATTAAAGCAACTATATCGGGAAAAAAAGAAACAAAACCTAACACTAACAGATACCAAAGAAAGCAGAAAAGGAAACTAATTATTTCGAAAAATACAAACCGTACTAACGACGGAGGGGAAGATAGAGAGCATACCTTCTAACTGCGAATTTACAAAGCCAGAGAAAATGAAAGAAGATGAAGAAACCCTAAACCGTGGTGAGAGAAGGCAAGTTTTCTTCTTCTTTTGGCAAAATGGAAAGGGGCCTATTATTTGTTTGTTGCCTCAAGCTCCAGGGAAAAGAAAACTTGTTAAAAGTGAATCAGATCGTAATTTCGCGAACCGCCGAGATGGATAGATCGGAACTGTTGTGAGATTATGAGATTATCGAACATTCTAGTTGCACACGTATTATCGGAAAGATCTGGGAACTATTGACACGTGTGAATACTTTGATTATTATAATCTATTGTATAGAAATTTTCTCTCTTTTTTTAATTTTTTTATGTGATTTTTAAAACAATTAATGAGATGCTCTCCATTCTCATACAAAATTACTAAAAATCTTTCTCTCCTAAATAATCTAAATAACCACATCTAAATTTTCTCTTAAATTACCTCCCTCACTATCCCTCACATTCTCCTATATTATCTCTAATTCTCATTTATCTCTTAAATTATCTCTAATTTAGTAGAGAGTTTCTCTCCTAAATTATCTCTAATTTTTAATTATCCTCTCTCCCACTTTTTATCTATATCTATCTAAAGAAAGCTTGAATTAAAAAATTTAAAAATTATTTAAATATTCTAATTAATTATAATAGTTTTAACAATATTCATATTATTAAAATTATTACAAAATTCATCAAAAAATTATATACCAACAATATAAAATATATAATAATAGCACAAATTATAATTTTATGGAATATTAAATTCAATAAATTACTAATATTTTCATACTTAAATAATTATAATATTTAAATAACTAAATAATTTTGTAAATAACTAATTTCACTTATATCAATTAATAATTCTAGAAAATAACCTTCAAAAAGTTTAATATTTATTAATAATAATTAATAGTTAATGTTTTCAATTAATAATAACTTTTAAAATCTTAATCTATATTTATTATACATTTATATATACTAAATTAATAGTTATTGTTTTTAGTAATTATTTATTTTTTTGTGATAAATATATTTTCAATAATTATGTACAAATCTATTTTTGTTTTGTTATTTAACAAAAAAAATTCAATAATTATTGGAGATTAAAATACTGTTTTTTAACTTTTTAAATTTAATTTATTGTACTTATTGTATTTATTTTATTTTTGTTATAATTTATTGATGACTATTTATTAGAGATTAAACTATTATTTGAGATCACACTATTTATTGACTATTTTAATATATATTTTAGTATTTATTGTGTTTTTTGTAATTATTCAATTTATTGTATTTTCATTATCAATATATTTTTCATAATTGTGTATTTTCGTTATAAATTTTAATAATTATTGAAGATTAAATTATTGTTATTTATTAGATATTAAACTATTAATTTATTTGAAATTAGGAGTGTTCACGATGGTTTGATTCAATTGTAGTTTGTTTGGCCATCCAAATCGACTTAGTTAGATTGGGGAGTTGGTCAGACGAAACCAATTGACCATTAGTGAAAACTGTTAAACTCGAGTCATATCAAGTTGGGTCGATTTTCAATTTGGTTGGTTGGTTCAAAAGATTTAAACTTAAAAAATTAAATTTAAATTAAAAAATACAATGACATTATTAAAAAAATAATTTAAAAAATTAAATTTATGATATAAAATATTATAGACTAAGAAATATGGGAATTTTTTTCACTTTTCCATATTAAAAAATATATTTTAAATATAAAAATATTAATATATATCTATGGTCGAGTTGTTCGATTTACAAATTGCCAAAGCAAAATCAATTCAACCTAGTCGGGTTGGGAAATTGTTGAACAAAAGCCGACCCAAAAATATTAGAATACCGACCAACTCGGGTCGAGTTGGTTGGTTTCATTAGTTTTATGAACTCCCCTAGCTGAAATTAATTATTGTTATTTTTGTATTGTAAAAAAATGATTAAATGTAGTATATAAAATATAAATAATTATTAATTATTTAAAAATTTAACAATATAAAACAATCGTATACTTTTATGTGTTTTTATTATTTAGCTCAATGCTTTCAAACCACAATTGACCCAGATAGTCAAACCATTCAGCCCGAGAACTGTCGAGGCAACTAGTTCCGTTTTATCCCAAATCCGGTCCCTAGCCAAAAACCATTGAGTTGATTATCGACCTATTGAACTAAGCGGTCAAACTATTAATCTGTTCACGTTCAATGGTTTTTGGCCATTTTTTATTTTAATTATTTTTATTTTTCATTTGAACGAGTCATCCATTCAAATCGAACGATTGAACCATTAATATGGAAACCAGTGGCCAAAACGGTTCTATTTCCAGGTCAATTTTTAAAACATTGATTTAGCTTTCGCTTAACAAATCTCATACATTGCATGGGACCTGCTAGTAAACAAATACTAAAATGAGGTGGGCGGAGAACACATTGATCCGTAGAATGTCAGCATTTGATGCCATTATTTAGGTTCGGGATAAAAAAAGTGAAAAGTATTGAAAACATGGCATCCATCCATCCGCACATCGAGAATATCAAGTTTCAAAATGGGGACCTGCCAACGAAACACGACCCACACGCTACCACTATCATCAAACACTACGGGTCCAATTTTTATGGTGGGCTCCAATTTATAGTGAGATGTGTGGTGTTAGATAAAGTTGATAAGGTGTTGGAACTTATTTTATTGGTAGGTCTGTAGGTGATCCCAATTCAATACATTATCGAAATGTCGATTCATCAATTTCGCGGGAATGTTGCCCATTAACCGCCTGATTGTGGGCTAACGTGCCATGACTGGGCTGGGCTGGGTTGGGCTGGACTGGTGGCATCCAAACTCGATTCAACATGAGCCGCAAATGGATGCAACACTTTTTCAGGAGGAAGATTTAAGGGTTCATTTGGTTTACATTCAAATTGGAATTGGAATTTGAACTAACCTATTTTTGTTTTAAATTTTAGCTTATTCTATTTGATTACAGTACAAATGAAGTAAATCAAAACATGAAACAGAATAAAGTAAAATCCAAAACAAAATTAAGCAAGAATTTGCATTTTTTATATTTGCACTCCCATGCATTTGTACTAGTGCAACCAAACACAGCCTTAAAATCTGAGAGAATTTTGAAAGCATAGCCGAAACTATTCTTTTAACTTGACGAATGAGAATTAGATACGTGATCTTCCATGATATAGCATCTTTTCAAAGGAGGACATCAATCACTTCTTTATTATCATTATCCACTTCAAGTGTCATAATGCCTTCACCTTGATTGAAGTAAAGGCTCACTTTGGAAGGAATATAAATATAAATATGTAGAGTGCAAAACATTGTACTTTCTATTATTTTGTATGTATTTATATTGTACATATTTGTATTTGTATTCCTTCTAAGTTGAGCCAAAGTTGCAAACCATCTCTTAGAGTCATACTTTAGTAGTGTTTTCAAAACCAGACTGGATTGGAAAAACTAGGACCTGGTCACCAAACCAGTTCCGTTTCACTCCAAAACCATCTTTTGGCCAAAACCCATTGATTTGGTTGGTGAACCTCTAACCCGAGCAATTGAATTGTCAACCCAGACAATAGTTTTTGCCCATTTTTTGTTTTTTATTTTTCTCTTCTTTTTTTTTGTTTTTTTGTCAGAATGGGTTGTCCGATCGGACCAGGCTGTCAGCCCGTTCAACCTAGGAACCGGACCCCAAAACGGTTCCTTGTCCGATCCAATTTTAAAAACCTTGGCACAAGTGAAGATTGTTCACTATAGAAGTTGTGAAAACCAAAATAAAGGGCACTAACTTTATTTCTCACAACTTCACCTCCACCACTAAACTTGTTCATGGGCCGGTCAGGCTTTGCCTATGTATCAATAGAATACATTCAGGCTCGAGCCTAAGCCCGACTAGAAATTTGAAAACATATTTTTTTTCTTTTTTATTTAATAAAAAAATTGTTTTATTTATATTAAAAGCCCTCAAAACTAAAAAATAATAAAGGATCTCACTATTGCTTGAAAAAAGAAAAGAGAAACAAAGAAAAAATATTGTACATATATATTTTTATTAAATAAAATATAGTTTTTATTATATAATATATATTATCAAGTCAAACTCAATCTCGGGCCCAATGTTTTAGGCTCGAGCCCAAGCCCATAGGCCTAAAATAATGTCCAAGCCTGACTTAGAACGGGTCAGACAGGGATGACCCATCGGGATACTTAACCCATGAACAGGTCTATGCACCATAGACACTTGGGTCAAGGTTCAAAGCATCGATACCCTTCTGATATGCATGAAGATGCATATCGAGTTTTTTGGCTGTATCAAAAACCTTTTTTTTTTTACTTTCATATTTTCAAAGGGGTGCCAATAGACTCACTGGATTTTATTCCTCAAAACTTTTTTGATAAGAAGAATGCCGAATCAAGCTTAGGTTCATCAGCCATCTATTTATTTTCTAAATTAGAGTGGTAGATAGCACCATGGTTCAAAGTATCAAGGTAGAGGTGTATCGGTACTTTAAGTGATGTGTCATTTATTTTTTTTAGGTTTTTTCAAAATTCAGTTTTAAGTGTATATATACATAATTTAATAAAAAGGAGTTTCCAAAGAACACCTGTTTAGAGGTGCGTCGACCACCCAAAAATAAAACACAATACACCCGATATGGGACATATTGTATTGATACTTTGAACCTTGGATGGCACACCTTTACCCTCAAACCTTCGACTACATCTCTCCTTCCATATAATCCAAATGACAGTAGATAGCAAAATTTTATACAAATGATGTAGTTGAGAATCTCTTTTAGCAAGGCTCACTGGTTGAGAATGATAAACATGAACATCAATCATATCACTCCGGTGCTTCCAAATTTTATTATCCATGGCTCCATTATCAAACACATAATTTAGGTTCTCACCACTATGGCCTCCACAACAATGGCACTTAGATGCAAGTTGGATGCCTCTTTTTTTAATATAATATCATTAGGAAAGATGGCACCATAAAGGAATCTCCAAACAAGAATAGAAACTCAGTGGTAGGGTGTCAATTGGACTGGATTCGTTACAATCCAATCCGGTCTAATATGAGTCCATTACAAATGGACCAAGTCCAATTCAATGTCCGGACTGGCCAATTGTTCAAATTGATTTTAATTTAGATTTTGTTACAATCTAAACCTGGTCCATTAACACGTGTATTATTGTCGATATTGGTTCAATCTAACTCAATACAATATAAATCCATTATGGATGGACCAGGTCCCATTAAATCCAATAAATACTTTGGACCATTAAATCCAGACTTTTTGGCCAGTTTAATATGTCTTAATGGTCCATCCAAATTGATTTCGATTTGGATGGGGTCCAACCCAAAACCTATCCATTGAGACCCCCTACTTAATGAAGAGACCCAACTTCCATACATTTAGAAGCCAACCTCGTTATCATGAGCTCTTATAAGATTTTAGGAGAACTCACCATTAGGATTTGCATTCTAAATGAGTTTATCCTCTTCATCATGAATAGAAACATGAGAATCCCTAGCCATATCCATTATAAACCAAGGGAGAGGAGCTACCAAGTCAATACAAGAATTATTATCTGTAGTTAAGACTCAATTCAAAGAGATATCTCGAACATTAGTATCATCCATTTCAAATATATATAAGTGGACCATTGCCTGCAGAGCATTGTCTTTGAACTCTAACATATATTTCCAAAATTTAGAACTACTTGGATATATGAGAGAATAAGCAAAGGAGACATTATAATATACTAGTAAACATGTGCGTGCGTTTGCACGTGACAGCATCTCCAAGACAATACTATTTATAATTCATGGGCAGTTTTTGAACAATTATAAGTGGATAGTTTCTTAACTGTTATAAGTGGGCAGTTTTTGGAGGGAGAGTAAAAGACATATATGCCATTTTTTATGCCCGTTGTATGTTGCTTAGATAAGAGGTAAAAATGTCTAATGAAAAGTCTAGAAAATGGGGCTATTCGCTCTTTTATTAGTAGTATAAATTTAGAAAGCATGAATTCAGCCCGAATACTCCATCAGTGCTCTCGAGATGATCTTGTGTGGAGGGCTTCAGGCCTCTCCTTATTTATAGAGGGAGAGGTGTGATCATAATAGGGAACAAAGAAACGACATGAAGAAACTTTCCTATCCCAGAAAGGTGATCATGATTCATTGGGCACATAATGGGTAACTCAGGGTTTTGCTAGGGCTGAGCAAGAAAAATTAAAAAACTGAACCAAACTAAAAATCCAGTTGGTTTGGTTTTAGTTCGGTATTTTTAAAAAACTCAAGGTTCCAATTTGGTTTCAACAAACTAATATAGAAAATAGGTGGTTAACTAAACCAACCAATATACATATATTTTTATATATTTTATGTATATTTATGCATATTATATATCTTTTTATATATTATAGATTAATAAATATGCATTATATATAAATATAAATTTATAATATATAATATATTATTTACTGTTTAAAATATAATACTTTATATATATATATATATGGCTTTTTATTATATATTTATATATTTTTTATAATATATATTGTAAATATAAAAAAATGAAAACCCGACAAACCAAACTGACAGTTAACCAAACTGGTCAACTAATTAACCGATCATCTTCGGTTTTAGTTTCAGTTACTAGTAATACTGATCCGATTTCAAAAATAGGCCCACAGTTCGCTTAACATAACCATGAGCACCCCTAGGTTTTGCCACATGTCCACAAGTAAGAAACATGGATCAATCGACCACAACAAACATAATTTGATGAAAAAATTCCATTTTATCATTTCGTAGAGAACTAGTGGAGATTTGTAGGAACTGCCCTGTCCCTAACCCCAAACTCAAATGCCCCACCCCAAACCCCATCAAGGATAAAAATTCTAACCCCATTTCCATCCTCATAGGGAACGGGGAACCTCGACTTTACCCCACCCTGCAAATTTATTTTTATTTTTTTAAACCTACGGCTAGAACTATTTTATATTATGTAATATAATATAGTATAATAATATAATATAATATAAGTATATAACATATATTAACAGTTTTATATATAATATAGTCAGAATGGGTATAGGGCCGGGGTCGGCAAATACCATCCCCGCCCTGTCCTTGTCCCTAGAGTTTCGAATTTCTCGAACTTGCCCCGAACCCCGTTCAATGGTGAAAAAACCCATCCCAACTAGGGTGGGGCAGGGCAGGCCCCACGAGGATGGGTCAAATTGCATCTCTAGAGATCTGGTACTAATTATTATTTTGACGGGTTTGAGGAATGTGGCCGGATCATCAAATTTTACTAGAAAAAAAAAAATAGCGGGGAGTAAAAAAAAATGACAAGGCCTGTGATATTTGTCGTTTTTTTAGAGACCCGTGATGTTTTAGACACTAGGCAAAAAAATTACATTCTTTCTTGTAACAATTGTATTTGGTTTGAAGAAAAATGTAGGAAAAGGACGGGAAAAGTTAAGAAACCTATCCAAGGTTTGTACAGGTTTCTAGACCTATTCACTAGCCCGACTTTACACTGTTTTGGGCTTATATTTTGGACTGAGCCCACTCAAATTGTGGTATAAGCCAAGTCCAAGCCCGGCTCATGAACAGGTCTACAGGTTTCCTTTCCTTTTCCTATCTTTTTCTTCAAACCAAACACAGCCTAAAGTTAAATTTGCCTCTTGCTAACACGAATCCTCTAGAGTACCAAATACAACCTAAATTTAGAATTGCCTCTTGTCCAGAGGATTTTCTGTAGGGATGCAACTAGGGTTGGCCCGAGTTAACATTTTACTTTGTTTTAGGTTCAGGCTTTGGGTTGGATTCATTGAAAATTTGACAAAATCTCAACCCTAATTTTCTGGAGCATCCAATTAAAAACCAACACGTCCTATATGCATATCCACTGAAGGCCTTAGCTGCGTCACTACTTACAACCCAAAAAGAGTCATGATCAATCTTAACAAGAACGAGTTCATTTCTTGAAATCCCAGAATGATTTTATTTATCGACTTCACCGTGATAAACCCATTTTAAACGATAAATTTATATTTGCAAATGTAATGAAACGATGCGATTTCTTTCTACATTGTTTTATTTCCAAATACACCATCATTGACTACAAGTGAGAGAGAGATTTGATGGATATGTATTAGCAGGTAACAGAGACTAAAATTAATCAGAAAAAAAGCTACAACAAACATACAACAGACAGGATTTTCCACACAACACTTAAGTTATGGAGCAGTGAATCCTTCTTTTACATATCCCAGGTTCCCCACCAAAAAAAAAAAAAAAAAAAAACGAAAAGCACACTAAATTTTACAGTTGACACATGAAGAAAACGTCATCCTCCAAAAAGGAAAAAAGGTATGTCCCTTCATTAGCTCCCCTCCTCAAAGGTCATTTATTCGATCCCACAATGAACTCAGAAATTGTCTTGCGCTCAGTGTGCCAAAGATGCCTAGAATAGATTTCTGGGAATGCCAGATCCAAGCCCAAACATGTGCTGCTCTGTTTAATGAGAGCAAAGCAATATACTCTGTTTTGTTTGGAAGAAGAGAGCAAGTTATGATGTTATAGCAAACAGAATCGGAATTCCACTGCTACTTATCTGTTAGTATTCCTGGGCATCCAAAACAGGGTTCGATGGATACTCAAGACCCTGGAGTGCTGGTATCCGTCTTATATCTTCCTCTGAATATGCAGGGATAAACCAGTATCTTTTGTCTGTCCCGAACACCTGATACTCAAAACAGCAAGCAAAATGTTCTTCCAGTGATCAGCTAAACCGACTAAATGATAGAAACTTAGAAATTAGAAAGAACTCCCCATTCTATTCATGGATTGACAAATATGTAAACACAAATAATAACTCCTTTATAAAATACAGGAAAGGTTTCACATATTTTACTGATCATGCCTGAAAGCAATCCTGGGTGTAAATAATAGCCAACACACTGAAGGAAACTCTAAAAAGAGAAAACCCAGATATAATTATTTTACAGGAATCGAAGAAAGAGGTAGTAGACAAGAAACTTATAAAAGCCATCTGGGGGTAAGGGGAAAGAAATGGGCAGCTGTTCCTGCAGTAGGCTCTTCAGGAGGCATTATTATAGCTTGGAAGGAAGATGAGCACTCAGGGTTGGAAATTGATAAAGGAGATTTCTCAGTCTCGGTCTTATTCACCAATACAAAAGAAGGGTTCAATTGGATTCTAACAGGGGTGTATGGTCCCAATTCTCCCTGAGAGAGAGAGAGAGAGAGATTCTGGGAGGAATTAGACTCTTTACATGAGAATGAAGGAATTCCTTGGTGTGTAGCAGGAGACTTCAATGTAATAAGGTTCACCCAAGAACACTACAATGGTAGAGCTCCAACAAGAAGCATGAGAAATTTTTCCAGCTTCATCTCCAGACATAACCTATGTGACATTCCTCTCAAGAATGGTCAATATACCTGGTCAAATATGCAGGAAAACACAGTAAGTTGCAGACTTGACAGGTTTCTTTTATCCCAGGACTGGGTGGAAAGATTTCCCAACCTAACCCGAGACCTATGCCATCATTGCATTTCAGACCACTAGCCCATTAAGTTGAACACTGACCTAATTACAAAAAGAAAGCCCCCTTTTAGACTAGAAAAATGGTGGACCTCTCACAAGGATTTTAAGAAGCTGGTAGCTGGTTGGTGGGAGGAGTGTGAAGTAGAGGGATGGGCTGGATTCAGGCTTTTACAAAAGTTAAAATTCCTGAAGAGGAAGTTGAAATCTTGGGGAAAAGAACAGTATAGAGCCTTTGAAGATGAGAAAAGAAGATGTTCACGGAATTGGATGAATTAGATGTAAAAGAGAAAAATGGCACTTTAGATGATTCAGGAAGAAGAAGAACTGAGCTGAGGAAATCTTGGGAAAAGGTAGTCAGAAAAGAGGAAATTTATTGGAGGCAGAGATCAAGAGTGAGATTGCTGAAAGGAGACAACAAATCCAGGTTTTTCCACGTTTATGCATCGGGAAGACGTAGGAAAAAACTTCATTTCCAAAATAAAAAAGTGGAAAATCTTGAAGAAATGACAGAAGCCTTCCTCTCCTACTTTAAGAGCCTATACTCTAAGGAAAGCCAGTGCATATTCAGATTGAGCAGATGGAAAGGATCAACCTTGTCGTTAGATAAGAAAGCCTGGACGGAAAGAAGCTTTGAAGAGATAGAAATCAAAGGGGCAATCTTCAGCATGGATGGAGATAGGGCACATGGCCTAGATGGATTCCCATTATTCTTCTTACAAAAATGTTGGAAAATTGTTAAAGAAGACCTGCTAACGTTTTTTAGGGAGTTTAAATCCTCTGCCATTGTAAACAAAGGCTTAAACTCAACTTTTCTGTGTTTATTTCTAAAGAAAGGGAGAATTTTGGAAGCTAAGGACCATAGACCAATAAGTTTGGTAGGGTGTGTCTACAAAATTTTGGCGAGAGTCCTAGCAAGAAGATTTAAAAAGTTCTGCTTTGTATGTGTCTGTAGACAGGGTTTTAGATTGGGTTAAAGCATTACTGCAACCTATATCTATTGTAATTCAATACTTCTCTGTTATTGATAAAAGTCTTTCTACTGATAAAAAAAGAAGAAGATTTAAAAAGTTCTAAGAGATCTGATTTGTCCAAATCAGTTTGCCTTTGTCAAAGGAAGACAAATTGTGGATAGTATTTTAATTGCAAATGAATGTGTAGAAGACAGAAAGGCTCTTGGGAAGCCGGGGATACCAGTCAAGTTAGACCTTGAAAAGGCCTATGACAAAGTTGACTGGGATTGTATCTTGGATTGCTTGAGATTGAGAGGTTTCGGCAGTAGATGGATTAAATGGATCAAAGGCTGCATGGCTCATCTTGGTTTTCAATGCTCCTAAATGGAGAACCTAAGGGCTATTTCAAGGCTAGTCGAGGGCTTAGACAGGGTTGCCCGCTTTCTCCTCTCCTTTTTACCCTGGTGATGGATATCTTCAATTTTCATTTTGATAAAGCCAAGCTACTAAACCTGGTTAAGGGCATTGAAGTGGAGAGAGATTTGGTACAGATATCTCATTTGCAATTTGCTGATGACATCATTTTATTCTTGGATGCTTCCTTATAAAACATCTCTAATGTTAAAGGGTAATTGAAGCTTTCGAATCAGTCACTGGGTTGAGGGTCACCTTTAGCAAAACCAGCATTGTACCCATAAACTCAGTAAAAGAGGAACTTCTAGAGAACTTCAAATCTTTACTGGACAGTAAAGTGGAAAACCTCCCTATTTCCTATTTAGGAATGCCCCTCGGAGGCAACCCAAGAACCCTAAGCTTTTGGGGGCCAGTGGTGGAGAAGTGTGAAAAGAAACTAGCTTCCTGGAAAAAATGCTATCTGTCAAAAGGGGGCAGACTCATTCTCTTAAAGGCCTCTCTAGTAAACTTACCAATCTATTACCTTTCAGTCTTCCAAATTCCTTCTAAAGTGAGAAACCTCTTAGGTTATGTGTGGTTTGAAGGAAAAGGTAAGGAAAGGAAGGGAAATGTAGAGAAACCTATACAAGGTTTGTAAAGGTTTCCCTACATTTCCCTTCCTTTCCCTATTTTTTTCTTTAAACCAAACACAGCCTTAGAGAAAATCCAAAGAAACTTTCTTTGGGACAGAGGGGAGAAAAGAAACCACTTGGTAAGTTGGAATCAAGTGAGTAAGCCAAAGGAGAGAGGATTGGGAGTTCGGCATCTAAAGGAGAAAAAAACCTCTCTTTTGAGCAAATGGCAGTGGAGATTCCCTATAGAGCTCAATGCTCTTTGGGCAGCTGTCATCATCTCAAGCAAACATGGAACACGTGCAAATGGGTGGGATAGTAATCTTCATTTGAACCAGGTAAAGAATTCAAATCCTTGGAAAGTTATAGCCTCTTCACACTCTTCTTTTTTTCCTCTCATCAGATTCAAAGTGGGAAATGGTAATAAAATAAAATTCTGGAAAGATCTCTGGTGGGGGAACACCACCCTAGCATAACCCTTCCCTAGAATCTTCAACATTTCTTTAGACCAAGATGTAACTGTCTCCTCTTGTATCCCAGATATTCCTGCTGATAACAACTTGAACCTGAACCTTAGAAGACCCCTAAGGGACATAGAGATTTCAGACCTCTTTCATACCATTAAAGAAGTCTACACTTCCCCTCATTCCATTGACACCCGAGTGTGGACCCTCCACCCAAATGGTGATTTCACTTCCAAATCTATGTTCAAGGCTCTAATTGCAGGTGAACAGAGTTCCACTTTCCCATTCAAGAAGATCTGGAGCAGTCATATTCCGCTAAGAGTTTGCTTCTTTGTTTGGGAAGCGTGCCTACAGAGAATAAATACTTGTGACCTTCTTCAGAAAAAAAAAAGTTTGGGAAGATCCTATATTTCTCCTCATGGCTGTGTGCTACGCCTAAGAGTAAGAGAAGGTGAATCAGCTGATCATCTATTTATTCATTGCAATTTCTCTCAAAAGATCTGGTGCCATTTCTTAAACCTGACTGGATACAGTTGGGTCTTTCCAAAGCATATTTAGGAGTTTCTCCATCAGTGACATAGTTCAGGCCTGAGCAGAAGAGGTAAAGTGTACTGGCAAATGGTTTTACATGCAGTACTGTGGGGAATTTGGGAGGAAAGAAACAGGTGTGTATTTGACAACAAAATCAGATCTCTTGAAGAACTAATCTCAGATATCTCCTTTCAATGTAATTTCTGGACTGCTAATTCCGAGCTGTTCCAAGGACTCTCTCTCAATGACCTTAACAGAAATATCCAATCGATCTTGTTTCTTCCATTCTACCCTCAACCAATCCAGAGACTACAGATACCTCATAATGAAGGAGGGATGACTTTAAACTTTGACGGAAGTGCTGCAGGCAATCCTGGTGTAGCTGGGATAGGGGGTATTTTGAGGGATGATCTGGGTAATATCTGTTGGGTTTTCAGTGGCCCAGTTGGTTATACCAACTCAACAAAGGCTGCAGTTATGGCTGCTCTCACTGGAATCAGAATAATAAAAAGATTGGGCATTCAGAACTTATCCATTGTGGGAGACTCTGCTAATACTATCAAATGGCTGAAGGACAAGGAGGGGGCCCTTGGAGGTTGAGTCATTATCTGGCTGAGGCTAGAAACTCATTGGAAAATATAAACACAAACTTGCTGTGGATACCGAGGGAGTTGAATCATATTGCAGATGGTTTAGCTAAAATAGGAGCAAGACTAGAAAATCTGTACAGCAATAGGCTTCCCCCCTTGTAATTTTTCTCTTTAGCTGTTTGGGTTTTCTTTCTTCTGTGCAGTACATCTGCTCATGTACTTCATGCTGCTTTAATGAAATCTGGTTAACCTTTTCTCAAAATAGTAATAATAATAACCAACACAGCCTATAAACCCTACACCATGGATCCCAGATCTACACTATGCTCTCAAGATGTTTGTACGATTTTTGCTTTCAGAAATCCTGTCTCTATGCCAAGCATGAGCCAACAGGAAGGGGCATGGTAAACTAGCAATCACTTCCCTCCCTAAATCCTATACCATGCATGATGTAGGCAAGGACTTCATAACAGTCCCTTCAATCCTTCCTAAAGATATCTATCACCCAAGACCAAAATCAACCCAGTAGTATGCATGTGTACCCATGCATTTTTGGAATATTTGTCATTTTCCACCCTCCAAAAGAGTGTGATTGATTAGATCTTTGTGATTACTTTTTCTTTTATCAGAAACAGTAGATCTTTGTGATTACTTAATTAGATGGCATTTAACCCAGAGATGCCCCCATCAGCATCACCAAATGTGTTTGATCTTCTATCTTATAGTTCAACAGAAAATTTATATTGTCTATCCAAAAATGTAAAGTTCATTTAATCTTCCCTGGTGATTATGCCACAGTTCATTTAATCTTCCCTATGAAGTAAATAAATGTGCAGCAACACTTCCAAAAAGAGTGGCCTGCTAACCAGCTTATATGTTGCTTCTTGGAATTTCTTCCTTTTCCGTATTTTGGACCCTGATATTGTGATAAATAGCAGGTGCATCTACAAAATTACCGATGCATATCTTGAATTCAATGGTGCCCTGCCCACTATATAAAATGCTTTAACATGTCAATTTCAGGGTCATAATGCTGTGAGGAATAGCAGGTCCATCTACAAAATTATGTATGCATATCTTGCATCCAATCATGACCTGCCTGGTGCCTGCTATATAGAAATGCTTTAACATGTCAATTCAGGGTCATGTTTATTTATCAAAAAAAAAAAAAAAAAAAACATGTCAATTCAGGGTCTGGCACTTTAACTTATGAGCAGAAAAATCATGACATATCTCAAGCAGTAAATAATATGATATTACTATTAGAAACTGGAAAACACAATTTTGTACTTCCATCTAGAAGAGACATCTGACAATGCAAAGTTTGACACTGAACTCAATGTTCATACCAGTTACCCAGACCAACACTCAGAGAACTAAGTTAATTAGCAGAGAAGCAAGAGAAGCCTAGCCAAATTCTCTCAGCCAGTCATGCCTACCCCAGGATGGGTGACTGGTAATACCAGTCTCAGCTTTGACACAAAATTCAACCATGAAAAACTGATTATTTAATCCTTGTATTAAAATTGGACTATAATCAGAACCTCTCATGATTGAGGCATTAAACATGGTACACTTAGTTTGAAGAGCAATCAATGGTGGTGCTAAATTTCTAAGTTCAAGCAAAAGAAATAGAACAAACTTGGCAATGTTCAAGAAAAAGCAACAACCTGTTCAAAGTTCTTCTTGCGACCAAGGTCATAACGCCATTTAGGAGTGGTCTTCTTCTCATATGCCTGAGGACAAGAAAACAAAGGCATCACTAATTAAGTTTGGTGCTTGGCTCCATGTTAACCCCCCCCCCCCCCCCCCCCCCTGACAAAAAAAAAAAAGAGAAAGAAAAGGGGAAAGAAGTTAGAACAACCTGGTACACAGATATTACCTCAATAGTGGTGGTATTAGCAGCAACTAGTGATACATGCATGATCAGAAACCCCATTACACTCAATGCAAATGCTAAGTTTAAAACTGGATGATAGAGCAAAAACAAGTATATTAGAAAAGATTCAAATAAAAGAAAGCACAGATGCAGGACCCAAAAAACATAGAATTTAAAAATCATTGAACCTCACCAAACGTGAGAAAAGTGGTTGCAAGGGTTCCTGGTGTTCCAGGTATTTCTCCATCACTAAAGAATGCTACGAAATGAGGCAATAATGATAAGGTGACCAAAGTTGTCTCAAGAAATGTGTATAACTGCATGGAATAAGCAACAAAAGATAACAATCAGGATTGTTAATTGGTTTTTTCCAGAATTGGGGATATTTAACAATTGATAAATGGGGCACAACCAAATTAATAACAAAAAATCCCTGCATCTAATTTGTGCCATTATAAAGAGGGGTATCAATTGTTTTTCAACTAGTGATGTACCCAATTACCCAGTTTATCAATGTTTTTTTTGTCATCCCCAGTTTATCAAAGTTGGGATGTGATCAAATTAGCACTAATTCGGTTTACTAATTGGTTGTTGTATATCAAAAATATAAATGCCATAGCAACCAAAATATACAATAAAATAAAAGCAGTCTGCCACAAACACAACTTTATATTATTCTCATGATAGTCCTTGAAATGTACATATTTTGAATGATTTCGCAACAATAGTGACCATAATCCGAGTTACATGGGTTTGGTTTAGAGTATATGTCGATGAGTCAAATCTGTTTACCTTAAAATCTTAGGATACAGCATACAGGGACTCCATTAAAATTAATCCAGCAGTCAGAACTAAATTAAGGCCACATCATGCATTTGATGATATGTATTTAACTTCCAGCTGCATGAACCTATCTTCAATTTAAATGCATTCCATTAATATATAAAAAGGAATAAGTAACAACAACAGAAGAAAGCAAATGAATCAACTTGTAACATGACAATTAAAAACCCATAATGCAACAGTGTATAGAGAAATACACATTTTATGAACAAGGGAATCCTCGGTTCAGCATTGTAAGCATTCAATCTTCAATATCTAATTGCACTATTTGTTTTAACCACAAGTAAATAATTAATTCTGAGTGCATGCTGAGTTAAGAGGATATGCAACTAATCCATCAAAACTTAGAATTGAAAACTGGACATGGATTTGGCAGATCTGACGCATTTCATACACCAACACCCGATGCCACATCATGGATACTTTGGGATAAAATGAAGCATTTGGGACCACAAACCATAATTACCAACTTAACCCCACAAACCCTAATCCCAATTGTATAGAACCACTACATGAATCTTGCTTCACCATTCAACCCTAACAAAGGAATAAACCAAGGATAACATCATAACATTTATATACAAGTTTTTTATAAAGTACATTGAGGTCTTTGTAGAAATAATGATACAAAAACAATTTCCTCCAATCCATCTGTTTGTATACAAAAATAACAATAAAGGAAGCATACTGACAAATGATTTCTGTTACAATACATCACTAAACCAAGCATCAAAACAGGCCAAGTCAAGAAGTTTATAGGGCATCCCAGAAAAGATCAAATTTGAGAACTATTGTGTCCACACAATCAAATTCCCCACTTTATTTTCCACTTATGCCAACAAGACACAAAAAAGAAAACAACTCCATTGGAGATAAATCGATATATCAGTCAACCAAACATTTGAACTCAAAAGCACATTAAACCGATTTTTTCAATTCCAAGGAAAATAAACTGTCTTGTGATAAAGGATTATGTTCATGTTCATTTGGCATCATACCTGTTCTCTTATTTTGTTACTTAGTTTTGGTGGTCCATAACACATCTGATCATGCAATTCTTCTCTTCCTATGGTTTAACCATATCAACACATTGAATGTATTCTATATAATTTAGAGTGTCAAGAGAGAAATGTATATGACACAAAAAGAAAATAGTTCAGCAGAGGGTCACTTGATAACAGTTCAAGTAGCTGAATTAAATGGCTTATGAATTTATCTTTTAGTGAATAAGCCATTAAGTCGGTTGTCATCTCCTTAATGACTGAATGACACGTTGGGTGGTTGATTGCAACACCCCTAAATATTTTATCATGTTATTATTTATCCACTTACAGACAAAGCATTAAGTCACTCAGTTCTGCTACTTCAGCTGCTATCAAATGGCCCTTGGCCCTAAGCAATCGGATAAAAAATAATTAAAAAATATTTTCGTTTATAAAAATGAGTCTCTGCTTGCGAAAGAGGTTAACTATCATGGAGGGACTACAATGTATGGTGCTGAGATTTTATGTTCAGGAATTCATTCTCCCTGTCAATAAGCATCATGCACATAAAAAAAATGCAAATAAATATATCTAACAACACCAAGCAAAAACACAAATATACACCCCATTCAGGTGACTACTGATCACTTTTTCTTATCCTTTTATTTACAATCTACTTAAAAGGTGCATCATAGTTGTTCTGTATTAATACAGGTACAAAATGCACACTGCCTTCTACTCAATTTAATACAATAAAAGATAATTTTCAAAAAAAAAAATGTTGTTATTAGAACAGATGGTATTATTGATAATGGATCTTTTTTTGTTCATTTTTCTAATTAGTTACTACTGTAGCTGATGATATCTAAATCATCATCATCTATGCCTTGTCCCAAATATATGGAGTTGGCTACATTAATCCTGTTCCATATTCTGCCACTCTTTTTTTTTTGGACAAGTTGTTTCTTAATTGCCTAACCCTGCTCCATACAACATTGCTACCCTTAGAATTGATTTATAAAACTTTCCTTTTAGTCTGAGTGGTATTCTCCTGCCACATAAGACTCGGAAGATGTCACATTGAGCATCTTGATAATACCTAGATGTTCCAGAAAACTATGTGCTTGAATCAATAGTCAATGGAGCTTGACCATAAATGTTGTATTGCTTTTCATTAAAATAAGAAAGATAATGGGCATTGTATACAAAAAGTATCTCCTCAAATATTTTAATTTCATTAGGCATTTCACCATTGCAAATTGGAATTTTCATAAATTTCTAAGGTATCTAGAAAATCTGAGAAATTTGAAAGAATATCAAGAATATTAGAAAGAATATGATAAGCCACGAAGGTCGCTGAGAACACCCATGAGGAATCCCAAATACATTGATTAACGTCATCGATGTATTTGGGATTCCTCATGGGTGTTCTCAGCAACCTTCGTGGCTTATCAGAATATGGAATTTCTTTATAAAGCTTCAGGAAGCATCAAGGTTCAAAATTTTGATACGATATGCCCCATATATCAGATCAGTGGCTTAACGATACGCCTATTTAAAGGGGTTAGGGAGCCACTCTTTTTTTAATAAAAAAATATGGTTTAAAATATGCCCAAAAACCAAATTTTGAAAAAAAAAAAACTAAAAAGTATAAAAGCGCGTTATTTTAAATACCAATACGCCCCTGCCGATACACAGGGGCAGATCGTATTTTGAACCTTGGGAAGCATTAAAAAAAGGTATAATTATAAACTTCAAACCTATAAAAATAACAACCTACCACATACCACAAACTATAGAAGATTAAGAATATTAAAAATGAATTGGGACATCCAATTATTATCATACAAGGCAAGCATTCTTAAATACTAAATATAATTCCTATATCCTAACTCCTTCACTTTAGGGTTCTTTAAGATAACCTCTATCTTGATTGTGGGGCCATATTAATTATTGTTGTAATTTATATCATTGTATGAGTAATATAAAGAGTTAATTATACTTATATTAATTATTCAACTAAATTTTTTAAAACATAGCTTTATATTCTGAAAACCTAGTTCAAGTTCTTTATTCAAATTCTAGAATCAATAAACCCAAATACATTTTTAAATCATATGCAAAAAAAAAGGTTGTTTAAGCATTTTCTATACCTTACTTTTTTTGAGAAAAGATAAACTGATAGCAAGGTTCAAAATATCGATACGCTCCTGTGTATCGGCAGGGGTGTATCGGTATTTAAAACAACGTGCTTTTATATTTTTTTAGTTTTTTTCAAAATTTTGGTTTTTGGGCATATTTTTAACCATTTTTATTAAAAAAAAAAAGAGTGGTTCCCAAAACCTCTTTAAATAGGCATATCATGAAGCCACGGATAAGATACGATACACCCGATACAGGGAATATTGTATCGAAATTTTGAACCTTGACTGATAGTATTAAGGAAGAAAAACAGGGAGTACATGAGAGGATGTACAGATTACAGGAAAGGACCAACAACAGAAATTACAAAGGCAGAAATCTTTCACTATACAGATTTTCCCTAAAGATACCCGATTTAGCCAAACCATCAGCTGTAGAATTTAACTCTCTGGGAATCCAGGTTAGGTTTACAGCCAAGGTGACCAAAAAATCTCTCGCCTCTGTTAGGTAGTGTGCTAGCCTCCAGGGGCCTCCCTGCTCCCTCCTTCAGTTAGAGCATACCAGCCCTTATCTTTAGCAATTTGAAGACCAGTGAGTGCAGCCAAGATTTCTGTTTTTTGTAGAATCAGCAACCCCAATTGGGCCACTAAAAGCCCATTCAATGCTACTATGCCTTACAATTTTTCCCAATCAACTCAACCCAACTAGGTCTTGCCCCAACTGTGGTGTCAGCTATATGAATGTTCTGTCATTCCACTCTGTTCAGTGTCATATCCATTGTTAAACCATTGGCCATCAAATCAGTTCTCATTATTTCAATCCATCTTCTTTATGGCCTCAAATCATTTGTCATACACACACATACAGACCCATTAAATGAAATGTATCAGGAACTATTCTTTGTATCTGGAACAAAATCAAAGAGATCTACTAAATAGAAATTTATCAGCATCAAATAGTTGAATACACAGAATCATAATGCAGTGTCAATATCCATTGTAGGAAAAGCTAACGTCAGAATTCTGAGAATGAGCTTTTCCAAAAACATAAAAAGAGGGGTGTGCACATAGACATCTTGTGCCCATAGAAATGAGAAATGAGGTTTGCAAACTGCAAAGATAAACTACTTAACTCTAACTTCAGAGGATATTGTAAAGCACATAGAAAATAGGAAGTTGAGAAAAGTACAGAGTTTGTGAGTGTACTGAAGTTAAATTAATTTGAACCAATCCAATTCTTCCTGTCTTAAGCACCACTAGGGAGTTAAACAGAAGCTTCATGGCCACTTTTTTTTTATCAAAAAGTTTCATGGCCACTTGTTGAAAGGTTGAAAGAAAACTACAATAATGGAAGGGTAATTATCTTTCAAAAGGAAGATAATGGGGACAGAACAATGATATTCCTCATTAATGTCTCTAATTACTTCCCATTGTCAAGAACGTGACACCAATTTGGCATGAAGACATTTTAAAAAAGATGCTTCCTTCAATAGAAGGAGGGGAAATAAGCATTCCAAGACAAAGCAAACAAATAGCACCCTAAACTTGATCAGTTGATCTAGGGACAAATTTTACATTGAGAGACTTTAAGTCCACCAAAATGTTTAGGAAGAACAATCCAGCTATTTAGCTAATATGAATAGACAGTTTAATGACCACATACCCACATTCAATTTTTTGAAGGGTAATCATCCACCTATTCAGACACCATGCATATTTTTGGAGAACAAACGTTAGAATGTAGCTCTGTAGTTAAAAATATCCTAACATTCCAACAAATGCCCATAATCTAGAGAAAGTAGCCATAATTATCAACCACAATCCAGAACATATACACCCTCCTTGGTTACAATCCCAAAACAAGAACTAGACCAAAAGACACCGTGACTATAGTCACTATACTTCCCTATCCCACTCATAGGCAATTTACAACTTCCAAATGCATTAAAAAAATGTCCTTAAATAAAAGCTTCCCTAGAAACATGAAATAAAAAGTGAATGGAAGGATAACAACAAGCAGTACTACTTTCCTCATTAATAACAAGGACCCAAAAGTGGTTTTGAGCAAATGAGAGAGAAACCTTGCTGTGAAAAAGTAACAGCAGGAAGAAAATTTTCATGTACATAGAATAGAGCTGATTTTTTCTGTTTGTTTTTTGAATTAGTAATAAAGAGAGATACTTCCTGGTGAATAAAGCTTTTTACATTAAAAAAAAAAAAATCTAATCTGTGTGCAACATATTAACCATGGCCCGATATCCTATTCATTTATTTATTTATATATTTTTGGGGCATGGGGGGAACAAATAAACATACTTATATTCAAATACGACATTTACTTTTGCTTCTCCAGATGATAGACACACATACATGTTGATCAATAAGTGAAATTGAGATTTATGAACAAACCCTTCCAAACAAAGTAGAATAACACTGCATCCAAATTCAACCATTCAAACCCCAAGAAATATAACTTAAGACTTCAGTAGCAGAAGCCAGACGGACATGACTCCAAGACTTGCAACAAATGAAGAAAGAGAAATGAAATTCGGTCTGAAATAGCCAACACTGAACATGGTGTATAAGAGAGTATAGGATTTGTAGAGTAAATCCAACATACCAAGAAAAGAAGGAAATACTTATAGTTTAAAGCACCCACGCAATTGACGACCCACACGCAATGATGGTCCATTTTCAGGACACACCTCCCACCTAAAATCAATTAAATAGATTCAGTATGTTTTTCCACTGTTTCTCTTTTTTCCCCTTTCGATGCATCTGATGACAAAAATAACAAAGCTCTGAAAAAAATGCATGTACAGATTGAAAAACTCACAGACGGAACAGTGATGGCAACGCGGAGGTTTCAGCTGGTTACATTTCCGGCAGTACCTCACTCTTGGATTTGCTGGATCAGGCAGCACAGCTGACTGTTGCAGGCCTGCACCTGTGGCACCAAACTCTATACCCGTCAATGGGTCGCCCTCTCCTCTTTCCTCATCTATAGTAGGTCTCCAGTTCGGTGGAACACCACCCGGATCAGTTAAAACAACAGAGAAGTAGCTCCATAGTAGCATCACCAGCTAAATAGTCAAAACATTAAAATCCATAATTGGGTCAATTTCCATTAAATATAAAAGCGATACCCAAATACCCAATAATAGTTCCTTACTTCGTGCTCTGCTGGATCAACTATTTTTCTTCTGAGTTACATATTTCAATTAAACATTAAAAAAAAAAATCCTCTAACAGTTGAAAAGTTCCTTAAAACATTTGAGTCTATACCTGACATTAAAACTAAATTATCTACCTTAAAACCACAAAATTAATTTCTCAGCCAAAAGAAACAAAATTAACCTAGAAAACTAGAAGAAAATCTTTGCTGCAGACTGCAGCTTAGAGAACAAACTAGTTAATAAATAATAAAACCTTGTAGAGCAAGAGAGAGAGAGAGCTTACCAGACCGTGGAATAGGATCAAAACAGCAAGAGCCGTCATGGAACCGAGGCCCCCGTCGTATAAAGCCGGGCCGTAATTAGTAATGACAACGGCGTAGTACGTGACTCCGACGACGCCAAGGACCAGCAGAATCATAATGGAACCAAGCCCACGCAGGGCTGTACAGAACTTGAATACATTCCAGGCCATTACAACTCCGGATCTGTGCATACTGAAATCAAGAGGAAAAAATAACTATTTTTTACAAAAAAAAAAAAACAAACTTTTTTCTTTTTCTTCGTCTATTACATATGGCTATGTGAATCTAAATCGAACCATCCCTTTATATCCGGATATCTCTGTATCTAGGGTTTTATAGTAAGTTCAGCTGGGATTCTGGAATTCCAGGAGACGCGTGGAATTCCATACCCAGTTGGGTATCAGGTCTTCTCTGCCCCTGAAACCGGAAGAAGTAGAGAAGAAAAAGACGACCCAAGAAAAACTAGAGAGAGAGAGAGAGAGAGAGAGAATGTGTCGGAACCGAGAAGCGCTACAACGAGGGAATGGGCGAAGCGAAGCTGCGAAGGCAAAGCGGATATTTTCTAAATTTCCAGGGTAAAAACCGTAAAATATAAAAACCTCCCCTGAGGTTTCTTACAATCATAAAAATCTCCTTAAAATCTCCTTTTATGTTTCATTTTGATTAAAAACTCCCTTTTATTGGTTTCTTTTTTTTTTTTGAAAAAAAAAAGTTCTCTCTCTTTCATCAGTATGGTAGACATAATCACATAAAATGTTACATGATGCAATAGTTTTTTAAACACCCATTTTACCCTTATCTTTATTAATTCATATAAAGATTTATTAAAATACCCTCAAAAGAAATTTTAACTTTTAGCTAAACAGTTTTCTTGCGTCAATTTGAAAATAGTTAATTTGTAAATTTGTCAACAGGTGAAATTAAAATCTAATATTTTGAATTATGTAGAAAAATGTATTAATAAGACTCCAAATTGGAAGTTATTTACCCAAATAAATACATAAACACTTATTAGGCTAAGTATATTTATTGATGTCCTTTTATTTTTCAAGTAAATAAGACAATGATTGTTTTATCCATAAAAATTATTAATAAAGGGGAAAATTTTCCCTATCAAAGTGTTGGCAGCTTTCTCCTAGGTGGAAAAAATATTTATTCACATAGGAGATGGATATCATTCTATGGACTCCACATAAATCTAAAAACAAAAATGGGTATCTTGATCAATGGAAACTAGAATCCCATTAACCTACTTTCTCCCTCCCAAAATCAAAAAAAAAAAAGAACACCCCGTATGTAATAAAAAAAAGGGAAAATTCTCGATCAATACCCTATCCTTTGGCTTGAGTGATAATTTGGTCCCCAAACTTTAAAATGCTACAATCCATTACTTGAACTTTCGAAACATGACAATCTAGTACTTGTCGTTAACCATCTATTTAAGTGGCATGTGAAAAGACACAAATGTCCTTCAAGTGTCACCTAATTTTCTTTAGCAACCATCCGTTAAAATCATAACCAACCATCAAATTGTTCATCCATGTGACAACACTCTTTGTCTTTTTTCTCCTCTGAATATTCTATCATCTTCGGGCCAAAACCAAAGGAATTTATGGGAGAAAAGTTTTCCTTTAACTATTGTAGGAATAAAATATTATTGTGTTAAGTTAAAAAAAATAAAAATAAGTTGTCTAAAACCTAAAATTTTCTATTCTTTGCAAAGACTTGCAACGACTTTGCGAGAAAGGCAAAGTTGCTGCAAGTGTTTGTGACAAAAAGCTTGGGCTCTGTTTCAACTTCTTGAGGAAGAAGATGATGAATTGTGTGTTTTATTTCCAAGGGTAATTTTGATATTTTCAAAAGTCTTAAATCGCACATGAGGTCACGTGATATACATGACAGACAGTTCATTAGCGTTAGGTACTAGATTGTCGCATTTCGATAGTTTGGGTATTGGATTGTCGCATTTTAGAGTTTGAGGACCAAATTGTCATTCAAGCCAAAATACGAGGTATTGATTGGGAATTTTCCCTAAAAACAAATTAATAATTTGGGATAATGACGGTTCAGCCCAGGGTCAGAACTTGTAGGCCTAAAGACGGGCGGACGTTGGTTCATAGTGTGTGGGTTGTTGACATTTTGAATGTTTATAGCTCTGCAGTGGAAATCAGAAATCTGCATTGGGCCTGTCAATACTTTTTCGTAATAAATTCCAAATCTCTAGAACAATAACTAAAAGGGGTTTTTACCGTTCAGTCCACCTTTGAAAATCCTAGCTCCATTGTACAGTTGAGGGTAGGTGCCAACTTGGAATTGGCACAGCGGGCGTTGGTGCATAGTGTATGGGTTGTTGACATTTTGAATGTTCATAGCTCTACAGTGGAAATTAGAAATCTGCATTGGACATGTCCATACTTTTCCATAATAAATTCAAAGTCTCTAGAACAATAACTAAAAGAGTTTTTTACCATTCAATCCACCTCATAGTTGGGGGTAAGTGCCAGCTCAGAATTGGTGCCAATTCACGCAGGCGGGTATGGGTGTTATAGGTGGAGGTGTTCATAAATTTGAATTATTGTAGGTCTACAGCTCAAATCCAAATTATGAGGTAGAATGCAGTCTAAAAATCTAACCTCAGGGGAGGTTTTATTAAAGTGAAATCTAAGAGAAGAGTTTTTCATGATTGTGAGAAAACCTAACCGCAGGAGAGGTTTTTATATTTTACCTTATTTTTCTAATGTAAGCTAATGGATGACCGTGAACATACTTTACACGGACACAAAAATACTAAAATATAAGTGGTTAAAGGAAAACTAATATAAAATTATATACTTTTATAGGATTCGTCAAGGTCCTAAGGTTTTATTTTAAGAAAGATGGTCCGTTATACGTGAAGTCTTGATGTCATGGCCTCATGGGTGAGCTCTGAGTCTCGTACAAGCAATGTTCATATCACGCGCATTGGTCTAGAAGTTCAATATTATTATTGGCTGTTGAGTTGCACAAAAAAAACTAAAAAAAAAAAAGGGCTGTTGAGGACTTTTTGATGGACCGGGCTGGGCCTTGCAGTTTCTTAGTCCAGCAGTGCGGAATGGGATTCCTTGTTCTTTAAACGCTTAGATGATTTGGGCATATTTAGGTTGTATTTGGTATCATTGCCATTAGACTTATTCATGATCAGGTAAACCAACAGGCTCAGCTCAGTCTGTTCTTAATCGGGCTCAAACAAGATTTTAGTCCTGCGTGCTTGGGTTCAGGCTTAAAACATTAATCCGTATTTTTCAAGTCAGACTCAGATTCAAGATCTAAGCCTGGTGGTTAGGTCGGGTCAGGATGAGCTGAATATATTTACTTTTGTTAATATAGAGGCAAAGCCTGGCTCAATCCCAACCCGTGAATAGGTCGAATTGCCACTCAACATTTTTATATGAAACTTATTTGGTTGTTATGTTGATTAAGCATTAAACAAGTGTTTTGAGTAGAATTGTGTTTGGTATTGACATTACTACTTGTATTATCTTCATTACTGAAAAAAGAACAAAAAAAAAAAAAAAGAGACATTGCTACTTGAAACATTTAGGTTGTGTTTGATTGAGGTGTAAATGTAAATCGATGTAAAACTCCACAGTCGGTTTGTATTTACATGCATTTGTTTCCCGTGTAAAAGCGGACTGGTGTAAAATTTCACACCCGATCCACTTTTTCAGTTATTTATTTGATATGTAAAATTAACATAAAAAAATCAATGTAAACAACTTTTTCATCTTAAATCAATGTAAATGTCCAATGGCCCAACGATTCTCACTTCAAAAATGTCCAATAGTCTAAAAAATTTTAAACCGATGGACTTTTACGCAATGGATTTTTCCATCAACTGACTTCTACATGTGGATATTTTCATTGCATTCAAATACAAACTTAAATGAAATATTTATATTAGATGTGAAACCACTGATCTCTCATATAATGGTTAAATTAAAAAACCTGTCCTCCCTCTATTTACCCAAAAAGTTTAAGTGCCCTCCCTCACCTTGGATCTTTTGCTTTTGGTGCTACTCCAGTTTGAGCAGGCATACATAATCCTGTACAAACTTTAGAGCCAACTGAAGAAAAAAACTTTGTTATGGATGTAGAATTTATGCATATTTGATGGCATATATCCATCTTTGCTAGTATGCAATGCTCTAGAATACATCTCTATACTACCATAGGATGTTGATTAAGAGTAAGAGCTAAGTCATTGGAATGTTTCTTTAGAAAATATTAATTTGATCCCCCCCCCCTCCCTAACTGTTTTAGATTTTTAACTCAAAACAATTTCAACGAAATAGAAAATTCATGTTTAAACTCAAATGCATACGTGGCAACATTTTATGTAGAAAAAGCCATCACATTAGAGTTATCAAATAATGACAGAAAATTTGCAATTTTTGCAATATAAAGAGCAAATGAGGGATGACCCTAAGCATGTCATATGTATCTACTAACATCAAAGCCAGGTCAGGTCAGGTCAAGTTCAAATCCATACATTGTCCTTCAGCCTTGATCTTGAGTCTTGACCAAAGAGACCCATCACAATCTGAAAACCACTCCAGATCATTGTTTGAGAGGGTTGAAGTATGTCTGATGAAAAATTCCGAGAGCCTAAACTAGCTGTCAGTTGATCATTTTTGGGGGCTGTCCACTTCACCCTCTTTATTTAGCCTATCTGGAACGCCTCAAACAGCTGAACTTGCTTGCCCTCCCAAGTGAGCACTCAATATGAATTCTTTTTCTTATTGAGTCCCAAAAACAAATCAAAATCATTCCCAGGGTTTAAAACTGTATCTCTGTCTCTTTTTGCAAATATAATATTTACTTAAAAAAAAAACATGTTCCTTTTTCTCTCTCTCTAATGCCTTTTTTAAATGTAATAATTAATATAGTACTTTTAATAATTACAGTATTTTAATTAATTAACAATATTTATTAAAAATAATATATTTTTTATTAATAGTATTTTTAATAATTACAGTATTAATAAGTAATCATATTTTACAGTATTTTCAATCATTGTAGTATTATTAATTAACAGTGTTTATTAAAATACTGTATTTTTTAAATATTAATATTTTATTAACTCATTAATTAACAGTTTTTAAAATTGTTAATTAATGTAAGTTATAATTGAAATTGTATTTTATTAAATTATATTTGAAACTGTAAGTAATATAATTAAATTTTAAACTTTAATTAAAAGTAATTATATTTAAATATAATTTAAGCTATAAATAGCAAAGAATTACATTTAATGAACATAAATTATCCAAGAAGATAACCAGAAATAAAGTACCAATAATTTTGTTAATTAGTTCTTATGTACTTAAAATACATTTGTTTTTTCATATAAATTATGAATTATATAATTTAAACATTACAATCCTTGCCTATGATGATATTAATTCATAGTGTTACAATGGAAAATAGAAACAATGTGTTTACTATTATGTATTTCCAATATTATTTCACTTTCACTAAGGAAGCCTGTGCATCGCATG